TTTTTTTTTTTTTTTTTTTTTTTGTTTGTTTTTTGTTTTTTTGTTTTTTTCCCCACCCCCGTCACCACTTCCATTTAACTTGAAGTCTGCTTCTCTTTCCCCTGTTACGTACCATCACTACAAATATATAATATCACATAACAAACCTGACATGGAGAATTTAATACTCAAATGAAATGAATAGCTCAGTATTCGAATGACAGATTCCCAGTAGAAATCAGCAAGTCGGAAAATTCAAACGTCTACAGTTGATCTGAAGCTGCATCTTATACAGCAAAAGATCATTTAGTCTTCACTGGGCTCCCTGTGACTTTAAGTTAATATACTGCCAATAGGTTCATGTTGGAGAGGTAACCAAGCATTGCCTGTGACACATTACACATTTTGGTCCTACCTTATTATTGACTCTTTTTGGAAATAAATTATAGTCAGAATTGGTATGGTTTTAAATACAGCATAATTAGCTTTGGTAAGTGTGTACCTTCCTTGATATACCTAAGAGGAATGTCAAGATGAGTGTGTATGTGTGGTTTGTGGTGTCTCACACCGCACGTGGCAAATACGCAACTGTGCATGATTGTGTAAATTTGTATTGCAGTGCCAAAATTTGATACTAGGATGCCCCAGTTCGAAAAACAAAACAAAACCTGCCATAAAAATTGGTACAGTACATGCAGCAACAGTGCGTATAGCCAGAAATGGAGCCTGGCTGTTCAGAGCCATACTCTAGCTGCTGGCTAGGCTCCGTGCTGCTGTTGCCCAGGATCCCAGGTAAGGTTTCTGGGGCCAGCACAGGTGCTGGCCGTAGCCTCCCCTGCCCCACCCAGGACATTTTGGCTTGTGCCTAAGTGTACATGCAGGGGTGTACCCTGGGACACAGAGTAGTGGCACAAATATTTTTACTTTTTCTTGCAGTCTACCCGTACAATATATACTTTAGCAGGGAAGACTGTCTGTGTCATGTGGTGACATACTTGCACCTCCTTCAGAATAATGCATCTTCCTCGTAGCTTTCCCTGCCCATTTGTTTGGGTATTACATTCAAACTTGAGAAGTTTCAGGCCCAGTATTTCAATTCTGGTCTTTCTTGTTGGGACTGTTTACAGTTAATTTTGAAGTCCGGATATGTAATTCTCCCTCTTCCTTCCTCCCCCCCCACACACGCACACTTTTCTGGAAATATTGTTCCAGTTGCTTAGTAACAGTTTATTTTTTTGTCTTTTTTTTCCTAAAGTAAATGACAAGAAATCCATGCTAGGACTTTTAAGTAACTTGGAGGATTGACAGCTTTTAGGACTATTGTGCCTAATTTTCCCTTTCCCATCCAAAATCAAAAAGTCGTACAGACTTGTTAATCAAGACTAATGACTGCTAACTCAAACATGTTTAATACCTAAATCTTAATGATAGTCTTTGCTGTTTTAAATAAAAATGGTTTGACTCATTTATTACTGTTGTAAAGGAAGTTTCTAATATATAACACTTTAAAGGAATACTTTCTTTTACGAATTGTTTTTTTTTTTTTAAATTGAAGGTGGAAATTGAAGTTTGTGCTAGTAGTTTTAATTTTGTGTTAGTAAAATTGTTTTCTCTATTACTGAATGCCTGGAAAAAATTAATAAAATATGCTCTTTAACATTTTATCAGACTGAATTTGAGTAGATGTTGCCCTAGATCTGTCATGCTTCATAAGATGTGAGACTTCTCAGACTCATAATAAATGAAGTTGCTTGGACTGTTTTCTTATTTTCCAGCAAATAGAATCAGACCTTTCTGTGGAAATATTAGAATGAGCGTTAGTATGTAAATACAGAAGAGTAGAATTGAAATTGGTTTGTGTTACTAGTTTTATGTATTTTTGTATTGAACATACAAAAAGTTAGTTATTGTTTTTAATGTATTTCTAACAAGAACTTGAGTTTGACAGTATGTAAGATGTTTCAACCCACGAGAAAAGCTTTGTTGATTTTGATACCCTGAATCTAACAATCTCCCTCTTCTATTGTAGGAAACACTCCTTTACATCTTGCTGTGATGTTGGGACATAAAGGTTGGTAAAACTATTTTTTATTAAGCTCAGAGTTTCAGGCTTTCCTTAGAATCTTAGGGAGGAGTAAAATATTGGAGAGGCTGAAAGTCTTTTAATCCCCTCCCTCCATCCCCAAAGAAGTTTTTGATCGTTGTGTTCTACAGTAACTTACTGACTGAGTACTTGGAAAGGAGGGCATGTAGGTCTAGAAAAGATAAGTTGAAAAAGAGATTGAGGTAGGACCTGCATACCCCCAGTAGTAGGAGGCCAGAGCAAGGCAGTGGAGTTAGTATATAATTCTGTTGGATATGAGAAAATGAATTATAAGAGTTGTATATTCTCTGGGGCTCTTCTCTGACTCTGCAAAGGTGAAGATTTCCCCCCTTCCCCCCCCCCTTTCTTTTGAAGCTGCCAGAGAGCAGTGAGACTTGGAGAATCCTAAGTTGTGGACAGGCATAATTTTAAGCAATATTAAAAGAAAACATGAGTTTGTCGCTCAAGACTGGATATCAGCTGTTCAGTTTTAACAGTAACATGTGACCCTTGGAAAGGAGGACAGTTAAATGGTTTAACTGTCATGTAAGTAAGATAAATTAACTCTATCTTCAACTTTTTACCTTCTTTCAGGGTTGGAGTTGAAGGTAAAACTGGTTTGCTCTACTGCCTCTTGAATAGAAATTGGCATATATGACTTGCATGAGAATACCTAACTGGGTCTGTCTATATATGTAAAGGTGTAGAAAGCTGAGATCTAAAGTGTGACCCTATGTAATGAAGTCTAGGCACTACAAAGCAGGAGAAGTAAGCCTTTCTCTTGAAAGAAAAAAAAAAAGTGGGGGGAGGACCAACTGGGACATGCATTGCTGGACTGTTTTTAAGTGGGCTGGGTGAAGTTAAGCACTTACAAAAAACTTTAAGTATCCCCTTGAACAGCTGTAGAAGAGTGATACTAATTGAGATTCTCTTGTCAGGTAGCTCCAGCCTGCATTAGTTAGGTTTTCCGTGGATATGTAGAGCTAATTTCAGGGAGATAGCTATGTTTTCATGACTTACAGATACTTTATATACCTTTTTACAGCTGCTTGTTTTTTTTCCTCTTGCTTTTCGCAAATGGCAAACAATGAAGTAATCTCTAAAAATGAAATCTGTTTTTAAGGTCACTTTTTAATTAGGACAACCTTTCAAGAATTTTTTGAGGAGCTGAATAATTTTCAATAACTTTCTTCCTCCTCTCCTCCCCCCGTATTAACCAGTTCATACAGAAGTCTTTTATTAGTGCAAATCCTATCTGATAATGCAGTTGAAATCTGTGAAAACTCATTGTGGAGCTGTCTCTAATTATTAACTTAAATATATGTATCCATCCTTACACTTCCATACTTTTGTAAATATTAAGGATCATGTCTCCAAAGACACTTTTTCACCCACCTTCTGTTAAAACTGAAGATATGGCTGATGGATCTGAATCATCCCATCTTTCTTGTAGTCAGTGAATTGCTCTTTTTGATTATGCTTTAAATCAGTGGTTCTCAACTGTCTTTGTACCAGGACCCATCTGTAAACACTGATGGCCAGTCCCGACCCAGTGCCTCTACTCCTGACCTGTTGCCCCCAGGCCCCAGCCTCCCCAGCATGTGTGATGGGGGGGGAAGCATAGGGGCCCCAAGCAGCCCCTTGCAGGCTGGAACTTTGCCAGCCTTCAATGGAAAAGCCATGGTTTCACATCTTTTTCTCCTGTAAAGGAGAATCTATTTTTAAAGCTTGTTTGCGACACTTTTCATATATTCTTCCGACCCACTTTTGGATTGAGAAATTCTGTTTTAAATCAGCCAGCAAGAAATCATTAAGTACATTGTCTCTCATTAAACTGCTGCCAAAAGCAGCATGTGCTCAGTAATGAAAACCAATAGGGGTGCACTGATCAAGATTTTGGGGACCGATACTGATATCCATATTTTAAGGAGGCACATTGGCCGACACCAATCTGATTTCCAATACAGCTGCGTGTAGCTGGTAAGTCTGCTGGGGGGGGGGGGTGCAGATCAAGGCCTCTGCAGTGAGGGAGGGAGTGGGACTGGGGCTGAGGTAGAGTAGGGTATGGCATGAAGCCATGGGTTGTCTGGGCAATGCAGGGAGTGAGGGCAGCTCCTGCCACTGTGCATACTTTGGGAGGTCATGGTGGGTGGGGTGGGCATGTGCCCCTGGATCTGTACGGGGTGGGGTGGGCTGCAGGCTGGGGCTAGGGCAGTGCTGGGGTCTTCCCAGCAGGGGTTGGGCCAGGCTGGGCTTGGGGCAGGTAGCGGCAGCAGTGCTGGGAGGGGGCTGCGGTGGTGACTGCTGCCACCCCAACTTTTGCTGT